TCTAAGAAGTATATTTTTATTTGTTTTAGATTCAGTGGATACTATTACTATAAATTCGTCCAATATGAATTATGTTTTTAATGTGGCAGATGTGTAATAGAAGCTTAGGGTAGAATAGCAATGACTTGATTTTCTGTGCTTCTGAACACTACTAAAGTGGGCTACCAGGATTAACCAAGAGAGAATAAGATGTAATTGCTTGCCTAAAGTGATATCTTTCCAGTACCTCTCCTGAATATCAATGAAGGCAAATGATTTCAGGGAGAGGCATTCTTCATTTGGGAGATGGGAAAGATTAAGTAAGGGAAGCAATTAAAATGAGACCAAAATGTAGCATTCATAGACCAGGTAAATGCTAATCATTGTTTGAAGAAGTCCATTAGATAAAACACTACTTACACTGAAATACTGCATACAAGTATTTGTTTATTTAAAAGTCAATAAATCTTCATGTATTTTTCATAGAAATTTAAGAGAAATAATATGGGCTTAGGAAAGAGAGCGATCCTGACCCATTGTACCATTGTAAGAATTATCCTCTGAGGACAAGTCTTAAAATCTAGGAGAAATACCAGAAAATGAGTACATTGATTCTATTTGCATTATTTATTTATTTATTTTTGTTTGAGTCTCACTCTGTTGCCTGGGTTAGAGTGCTGTGGCGTCAGCCTAGCTCACAGCAACCTCTAACTCCTGGGCTCAAGTGATCCTTCTGCCTCAGCCTCCTGAGTAGTTGGGACTACAGGCATGCCCCACCATGCCTGGCTAATTCTTCTATATATTTTGTTGGCCAATTAATATTTATTTAGTAGGGATGGGGTCTTGCTCTTGCTCAGGCTGGTCTCGAACTCCTGACCTTGAGTGATCCTCCCACTTCGGCCTCCCAGAATGCTAGGATTACAGACGTGAGCCACCGCGCCCAGCCTTAGTTTCATTATTAATTCCCTTTTTATTTAACTGTTTTACTCCCCTATCTCCTTTTATATAATAATTTATACTCAATTATTCTTCAGTAATTAGTAAAGAAGGAAAGAAAAGCAGCTGTCAGCATTAAGACTTGATATTACTTATTCTTACTTGAGAAATACTCATTTTGTTACCTCCTATTGAATATATCTATTACTACTCTTTTTCCATGTCCTAACTTTTACTAGCAAACAAAATGATAGCTTATTGTTGGGAAAATTAAATAGGATAATATATGTAAAATACCTGATATATTTTAAGCATTCAGTTAAAGAGTTGTTAACATAATTAATAGTTGTTTGTTTTTATCTCTTAGTTTTAATCTTGTTTTGTAATTATAAAAGTAAATTTTATTAAGTTGCTCGATTTGCTTTATTCTTTGCAAACCTTAGTATGTGAATTATATAATAGCATCTTTATAGCATCTTTTTTAATGCAACCATGATGCTAATTATTGAATGATACCTACTGAGCTAGACCCTATATCCTTTTTTTTTTTTGCATATTATGGGGGTACAGATTTTAAGGTTTCAATAAATGCCCATTTTCCCCCCTCCCCCACAAGTCTGAGTCTCCAGCATGTCCGTCCCCCAGATGGTGCACATCTGACTCATTATATATGTATATACCCGCCCCCTCCCCCTTAGACCCTGTATCTTTATGTACAATGAAATAAACACATGTCAAAACACATCCAACTGTACCTACATAATAAGTAAATAATTCGATATACATTTTAAATTGATAATTCATATGATATAATGTAGTATAAATATTCACTTCAATTTTCTTTCCCTGTTTTTTTTTTTAAGAGACAGGGTTTTAGGCCAGGTGCAGTGGCTCATACCTGTAATCTTAGCACTCTGGGAGACCTAGGCGGGTGGATGGCTCAAAGTCAAGAGTTCAAAACCAGCCTGAGCAAGAGTGAGACCCCCCGTCTCTACCAAAAATAGAAATAAATTAATTGGCCAACTAAAAACATATAGAAAAAATTATCCAGGCATGGTGGGGCATGCCTGTAGTCCCAGCTACTTGGGAGGCTGAGGCAGGAGGATCGCTTGAGCCCAGGAGTTTGAGGTTGCTGTTAGCTAGGCTGATGCCACGGCACTCTAGCCTGGGCGACAGAGTGAGACTGTCTCAAAAAAAAAAGAGAGAGGGTTTTACTTTGTCACCCAGACTGGAGTGCAGTATACTCCTCAGCCTCCTAAGTAGCTAGAACTACAGGCACATGGCACCAAACCTGGATAATTTTATTTTTTGTAGAGGTGGCTTCTCACTATGTTGCTCAGGCTGGTCTCAAACTGCTGGCCTCAAGTGATCCTTCCACCTCAGCCTATAAGTGTGAGCTACCACACCCAGCCTTAGTTTTCTTTTGACGAAGAAAAAATTTTTTGGAAATAGTTTAAACCTGAAAATATGTTTATTTATTTTTTTATTTAGTTTTTTTGAGACAGAGTCTCACTGTGTTGCCCAGGCTAGAGTGACTGCCGTTGGCGTCAGCCTAGCTCACAGCAACCTCAAACTCCTGGGCTCAAGCGATCCTGCTGCCTCAGCCTCCCCAGTAGCTGGTACTACAAGCATGCACCACCATTCCTGGCTAATTTTTTCTATATATATTAGTTAGCCAATTAATTTCTTTCTATTTTTAATAGAGACGGGATCTCACTCCTGCTCAGGCTGGTTTTGAATTCCTGACCTCGAGCGATCTGCCCGCCTCGGCTTCCCAGAGTGCTAGGATTACAGGCATCAGCCCCCTCGCCCAGCCTGAAAATATGTTTATATCCAAGCTGGGCTGCTCATTAGAATCACTTGCAGGCCATTTTTAAAACACATCTTTCTTTTCCCTACCACTGCCTTTCTGAGAGAAACATCTAACATCTAATCACATCTAATCTTTCCAAGAGAAACAGTGCTGTGCTGATATATGTTTAACAAACCAGCCTTTGGGTGGGAAGTGGGAATGGAGAGCATTGATTTGTAGTGTTTGCTGATTTCCATGGTGTAAATATTTCTACCATAGCCAATTTCAAGCTACTAAGATGATAACATTGAACGTGGAGTTGGGAAAGGATGTGGATGGAGTAACACAGCATTATATAGTATTTCCATGATAAAGGTACAATAAATGTATATAACCTCAAGGGAACAGAAGATAGCAAAGTTTAGTAAAATAATTAAGAAGTGATGAATTTTGAGTATTTACTTTTGTTTTTCATACAACTAATTGTAAATTTCTGTAATTTAATAATGACTGTGTTTAACAACTAGCTGCCAAAATTTCTGAAAATTTAACAGTTGGCTCTCATGAGCTGATCAAAACTGACTCTAACACAACACTGGAGCTCTGAGGTATTTATCTTTTTAATCAACTTAGTAATGCTGATGCAAATAACCTGCCAACTAGTTATTTTTCTAAAACACAGATCTGACCGTAAGGCCCAAGCAGGCATTCTACAGTCAGACCCAAAATGCCTTTTCCAGCCTCATTTCAAATAACATCAATTCTCTTACATCCTCACTTACACTCGATATAGATTACCTGTAGCTTCTCACACACACCTTGCACTTTACTATCCCCATGCTTTCTCATTGTCTTCAGCCTTGAATGATCTTACCTCATGTGCCTGACTTGTGCATTACTATTTATTTGTCCTTCTTGAAATAACACAAATGGTACTTCCTCTTTTTTCCTATGTTTAGAAACATTCCCATGCTCTTTGATGTTCTCATCCACTTTGTGTATACTTCATTTTGAGTTCAAATTTATCATCAATAACAGATGTCTTTTTCACTCACTAGATTATGAATTTCTAAAGGGTGCCTTTGGGCTGGGTGAAGTGGCTCACACTTGTAATCCTAGCACTCTGGGAGGTCGAGGCGGGACGATCACTTGAGTTCAGGAGTTCAAGACCAGTCTGAGCAAGAGTGAGACCCCGTCTCCAACAACAACAACAAAAAATAGAAAAGAAAATAAAGGGTGACTTTGAATCATACTGTACTTAACATATTAATATAACCTTAAAGTGATTAATAGACATTTGTTTATTTAATAGGAAGGATTATGAATGATACCTGATATATCCTTTGCTTTCTATACCTTTGAGAAAATGACCAGAATTTAAACTTTTTTGAATTAGATGTTGTATGCCTTTTTGTCTGAATGATTCAGAACCATATTAACAGTTATGTACCCATATCTGTACCTAGAGAACACATATAACATAAGGACAACTCTAGAACTTACCAAAGAAGAATTTCATTATAGAATATATGAAGCACTTAAGAGCAAAAAATACTAAATTGTGTAACTACAATTGCAAATTATTATTATAAGTTGGTGTGCTTTATAGTGTTTTCAGCATAAAGCACTTTATAGTGCTCCCAGCATAAATTCAGATTAGGCCTTTGTAGCAATAAACACCCTCTAAAAGAAGCAAAAATATGCTTTGCTTTGTGACTTGAGATAAATTTGCTTTTATATATGTCCTTAAGGGTAAATTCCTCATCAGTCTGTTTTCTTGCATTATATCTAGACTTAGAATTATCTGATTGTTTTTACGGTAGGTATTTATTAGCAAAACATAAGTGTATAAAGGAAATGTTCTAAAGTAAAAACAATCCAAGGATTTCTTGAAGCAGATACAGCACGTTCCTCTTTAGTAAAGTGTTTCAGGATTTTTTTTTTCATATTTTACCCTAAGCTGCCACCTAATGGCAAAAATTAAAATGACATCTTTTATAACATTCAGAACCTTTTTTACAATCATTTGGATTTTTATGTATTCAGCATAGAACCTCCCAAACTCCAAATGCACATTTGTACAGATATTATATGTTCAGTAAATGATGATTACTTTGGATCTCAGAGAAATCATATTTATTATTAACCGTTGTTAGACAGTGAGCCTCCTAAAATTTATTTAAAGTCTTTGGGAGCTCTATAAAGAGTCTGGTTCTTAATTAGTTTTATTTAATGAAGAATTTTATTTAAATGTAGTAATTTTCTCTTCTCCCTTTCCCTTTTCTGTCTTCAGAACGAGATCATTCGGACACCATGGTGTTCTTTTACCTGTGGATCATCTTTTGTATCATCAGTTCCTGCTATACCCTCATCTGGGATCTGAAGATGGACTGGGGTCTATTTGATAGGAATGCTGGAGAAAACACTTTCCTCCGGGAAGAGATTGTATACCCTCAAAAAGTATGTAGAAAGAGCGTTTTTGTTTGCTTAACAAATAAAAAAAAACTTAGGTGTGCCACTAGAATTCTATTGCAATACAGACCCAATCTCTAATTATATTAACCTGATATGATTAGAAAAATAATTACCAAAATACTAATTCATTCAGTCAGCAAAAATATATCAAATGTTTACTATATGGTAGGCACTATAGGAAATAAAATCAAAGTAAAATTCTGGTTTTCAAGCCCATAAACTATATACAGATACATAAACAAATTGCAATGCAATATGATGAAGACTTGAATAAAAGATTACTTACCATAGTTTGATTTATTTTTGAACGTGGAATGCCCTCCATCTGAAACACCTTCTTTCTCCTTTGTCTACTTTGTAAATACCTGTTCCTCCTTTTTAAAAGTAAGTTTAAATTTCACTTTCTCTAAGAAGCCTTTCTTTATTTTTCCTAGCATATTTAGCTATTCATCCCAATCCTCTTTTACTCCATATAAACTTCTGTTACAGCAGTTATCACAGTGTGTTATATAATTATGTGTTCAGATGTTCAAATCCCTCACTGCCCAGCATAGTTCCTGGTTTGTTGTAGACTTAATGTTTAAGGAATGAGTGAATAAAATACTTGACTAAATGAGCAGTGTTATGAAAGTACAGAGGAAAGGAAGTGCCTGACTCTGCTTGAGTGTGTCAGGAAGGCTTCTCCTTTCATTTGTTTCAACTAATATCTGTTACAATCAAGTGCCAATTCAATCAGAAAATACAGAGAATTCTTTAGGAATTATCTTAGGATTTTATCTATATATGAAGAAAAAGATAAGAGAGGCTGAATTTAAAAGTCAGAAAACCAAAAGTATCTTTGCTCAAATGTTTTATTGCTGCTTTTTATTGATCTTGCCCTACTGTGAGTTATAATACATTTATTTCTTATTATGGTGATTGTTTAGATGAACTGTTTGTGTCTTTATATAAATATTAGTCCATTCTCCCTTTTAAATAGTTCTTACTTATTGGTTTCTATTAAAACTAGTGAATAGAATCTTTGAAAAAGTTTCTTTGTTATTACATATTTTCATGACCCTAGAAAATAAAATATATGCTTTCTTACCTTATAATTTGCAAATTTATAAGAAAAGTGTTCTGCTAGATCACCACATTCCCTTCAATTTTAAAAAGGCAAATATTGAAATAAAATTCATCCAGCTTAAAAAATGTGGAGCTTTATTAAAAATTAACACAATTATATGAACCTTACAATCACTTCGTAAGGATTAACAGTGCATAATATTGAGTACTACACCTCGAGTCCAGGAACGATTTTTGTCATCTTCATATTCAAACTTAACTTTTCTGTTGGTGTCTCTGGATCTCAAGGTAGGTGTATCGCTCCCAAAAGATGTTAACATTTTTGGTGACATCAGTCACTGTGTATAACTTAAAACTGACTCTTAAAGACACATGAAATTGCAGTTCTTCATTTAGGCCTAATAATGAGTAAACTGAATGTGTATTTATCTAAAAATTGCATTATCACTATTTTGGGAGGATGGCAGGGGGAACAGGGAAGTATGTGAATGTGTTAAAAAACCTCATAAGAATCCTCATAAAATTTATCTTAATTAACAGTCAATGGATAATATCTAAAATTAACTCATCAAGATACAGTGTACATATATTGTAAAATACAGAGGATAAGTAGTATAAGACATACCTATAGATTTTAAAACTGATTGTCTCTAGGAAATGGAAAGAGAAGGTAGCAAGGAGACTGCTGGATTTTTTGACAATAGGCTTCTTACAATGACTAGCATTACTTTGTTAAACATTTTTAAAATAATATAAATATTATGGCTTAATACATAGCAGTACTAGTTTCCAAGTGATTTCACAGACTTTAAGTACATATATTTAAAGAGCCAGTTTCAGCCAGATGTGGGGGCTCACACCTGTATTCCTAGCTCCGAGAAGCCAAGGCAAGATAATTCCTTGAGTCCAGAAGTTCAAGACTAGCCTGAGCATGGGCAAGATCTCATCTCTCCAAAAAATAGAAAAATTCTCCAGGCATGGTGATGCATGCCTGTAGTCCCAGCTACTCATAGTCTTAGCTACTCAGAAGGCTGAGACATGAGGCCAGGAGTTTGAGGTTGCAGTGAGCTATGCTGATGCCACTAGCCCAGGTGACGGAGCGAGACCCTGTCTCAAAAAGAGAAATAAAAGAATGTTTAAAATAATAATAATAAATAAAGAGCCAGTTCGTTAGAGATCAATAAAGAGCAAATCCATAAATTACAGTTCTGGTCTATTAGCAGTTTATGTAATTTAAACTTTTTGTGTAGCTAAAACTGGACTCCTAAATGGATACTGGTACCTGGAAGTACTAGTTGAGCACTGTCTTCCCCATGTAAGAATAGAACATTTCTTAAATTCAACCATGTTTGTGAAATCCAAGGTCCATTACATTTACTGACATCATAAAGCAAGGCAAAACTTTCTCCAATGCATGGTAGGGCAATTGGGAAATAAAAGTACAAATAACACAGTTAATAAATCTGATCTTTTCTAATGTTAGCTATAAGTCATTATCATATACTTGTTTGAATGTAATCTCAATCAAGGATCTTGTCTGGCTTATATTTATGGGGCCTAAAAGAGAGCCTTTTGTATACAATATGGGAATGAAATATATCTGTTTAATGGTTACTGAAATTCAGTAATACTTCATTATGAATATTGTACCATTGAAGAAAAAACTAAGTTGGTAGAAAATCTTACTAAAATATAATATGTACTTCCCTGAAAAATAAAACATAACTCTTTCCTCTTGAGCCTTATTAGTAGGACATGTGTAAGTCTTGTTGCTGATAGATGTTCTTATTTATGATAAACATGTTGGGGAACATACTCATTTGCTTGTTATTCCTCAGGCCTACTACTACTGTGCCATAATAGAGGATGTGATACTGCGCTTTGCTTGGACTATCCAAATCTCAGTTACCTCTACAAGTGTGATTCCTCGTTCTGGGGACATCATTGCTACTGTCCTTGCCCCCCTTGAGGTTTTCCGGTAAGCAACCTACTAAAAAGTTTATCAAAAATTCTTTTTACCTAAAATACACCAATACTTACAAATTAGAATTTATTATAACTTATATTTGAAAAGCTTAAATTTTCCAACTTTTCTCAAACTTCTTGGAAACTCCTACCTAAAGGACTTAGAGGTTAATTCTTACAAAATTAAAATACCTATTGATGATGACATAAGATTTTTTAGAATTGGGCTCCACTGGAAGAATGGTAAGTGGAAATTGGGAGACAAAAAGGCTTAGAATAGGTGGGGGCTTGGTGGCTCACGCCTGTAATCCTAGCACTCTGGGAGGCCAAGGTGGGCGTATTGCTCAAGGTCAGGAGTTTGAAACTAGCCTGAGCAAGAGCGAGACCCTGTCTCTACTAAAAATAGAAATAAATTAATTGGCCAACTAAAAATATACAGAAAAAATTAGCTGGCCATGGTGGGCATGCCTGTAGTCCTAGCTACTCAGGAGGCTGAGGCAGGAGGATCGCTTGAGCCCAGGAGTTTGAGGTTGCTATGAGCTAGGCTGATGCCACGGCACTCTAGCATGGGCAACAGAGTGAGACTCTGTCTCAAAAAAAAAAGGCGTAGAACAGAAATTAAAATCTTTTGAGAATCATTTTTTACAATTTGGCAGTCTGAGTTATTCAGTCCTACCTTCTCACTGACCACAGTAAAAATGATGGATAAAAAGTTTTTTAAATCTCCCTTAAAAGCATTAGCAGTCTGACAGGATAGCTGCAAATCTAAGTGAAAGCAGAAACCCCAGGATAAATATCACTAAAGCCACTTTTGCACTACAGAAATTTGCCAAACTTGGATTCAGTTGTGATTGCCAATTCAAATTTGTCTGTACCTAATACCATACCTTAAATATTTGTAAAGCAGAAGTTGACATTACTAAGAAGTAGTAGATGAATTTACAATTTTAGTGCAAGATTTTAATATATTAATATTTCAGTAATAGATATTTAAGCAACTTGACCTAATTAATATACATAGAGCACTGTATCTAACAACTACTAAATATACATTCTTTTAAATGCATATAGAATATTTACCAAAATTAACCCTATATAGGGCCATAAAGGAAGTCTCAACAAATTTGAGAGGATTAAAATCACAAAAAGATAACTAAAAATTCCCAAATGTTTAGACATTAAGCAACACATATTTAATGACCCCAGGTCAAAGATGAAATTGTAATGCAAATTTTAAAATATTTTGAGCAGAATCAAATAGTAAATGTGACAGAAGAAAATGTAACAGAAAAAATGTAAAATGCAGCTGAAGCCATGCTTAGAGGGAAATGTATGAGATCTGTCTGGGAAGTATCCAGCCATTGTTAATGTAATATGATACCAGTTATAAGCAACTTTATGCCAATAGATTTAAAAATTTTATGGACAAATTCCTCAGAAAACACAGTTTACCAAAACCAATAAAGAAGAAAAATAGAAAATTTAATAGGTTTATATATTAATGAAATTAAATTCATATTAACATACTTCCACAAAGAAAACTCCAGGCCCAGGGAATTCTTCCAAATATTTGAGGAAGTAATATTACCTATTTTATACGAAACACTTCCTAGTTTGTTTTATGTGGCCAACATGACTTCTGATATCTAAATTACAATGACATTCCAATAAAAACTAATCTGTCTCATCTACAGAGTGATCAAAATCCTTAATAAAATATTAACTAATGAATCCAACGATATATAAAAAGGATAATACATCACAAGTTAAGTTCATTCTAAGAATATAAGATTTAACATTAAAAAATCAATCAGTATAAACTCACCACATTAACAGGAATAAAGGGGGAGAAAAGAATAATATATATATAGAAAAGGCCATTGATAAAAGTCAGTACCTGTTCATGAAAACAATATTTTCTAAAAAAACATGATCGTGACCATATTTAACAATAAAACACTGTAAGCTTTCCCTTAAGATCTAGAATGAGACAAGTATGTCTCCTGTCAAAAGTTTTATTTTAATATACTGCAAGTATAGTTAGTGCAATAAGGAAAACAAAGAGAATTGGAAAGAAAAAACAAAACTATAATTATTCACTCATGACAACTGCATATATAGAAAATTCAATATATTTATAATCAATAATTAAATGTCATAGTGTCCCTGAACATAAGGTCAATATAAATGTAAATCAGTTCTTTTAAAAAACAGTCACATAGCTGGGTGCGGTGGCTCATGCCTGTAATCCCAGCACTTTGGGAGGCTGAGGTGGGAGGATTGCTTGAGCTTAGGAGTTCAAGATCAGCCTGAGCAAGAGTGAGACCCCATCTTTACTAAAAATAGAAAAATTAGCCACGGGTTGTCACGAGCCCATGATCCCAGCTATTTGGGAGGCTGCAAGGATATCACTTAAGCCCAGGAGTTTGAGGTTGCTGTGAGCTACAGTGATGCCACTGCACTCTATGCAGAGCAACAAGCAAGACTCTGTCTCAAAAAAAAAAAAACAGTCACAACAACCAGAGAAGAAAAATTTTAAAAGCCATGTCATTTTGAATAGCATCAGAGTATATCAAATACATGCCTAGGAATAAATCTAATTGAAGATGTGTATGTATGTGAAAATTGACAAGCTAGTTCTATAATTTATATAGAAACACAAGAATGACCAGTACTGTCCTGAAAGGACAAATTTAAAAGACTTATAACTCAGATATCAAGATGAATTATATAGGCAAAGTAAGGCAGTATATGGCATTGGTGAAAGAATAGACAAGTAGTCCACTGGAACCAGTCTAGAAACAGATCCACACATATATTGACACTGTTTGATTTATGACAAAAGTGGCTACATAATAGTGGAGAAATAAAAACCCTTCTTCAATAAATGATATCGAGTCAGTATCTATTTGGAAAAAATAAATATTTTTCTAGTTGTAATATAGGAATTATATATTTGGTATAAAATAATTTTTTGCTGATTATATGTTGACAATATTGTTTTTTCCCAGTCTGGAGCTGCTCTTTGAACATAGTCCATGAAGACAAATTTTTTATCATGTTCTAAGTCTTACTGTGAAAAAATATACTGATCTTTTTCTTTATGGTTTCTGCCATTCATATCTTATTTTAAAAATTCTTCCCTATCACAATTTTATAAAATTATCCTGTCAATCCTATAGATTCTTATAAAACAGTTAAAATTTTGCTATTCTTATTTAAGCCATTAATCCACCTGGCCTTCTTTGATAGGCCACATTTCTGTAAATGTATAAATCTATTTCTCTGACCTCTTTGTTTTTTTAATGCATAATAGATGAACATAGTTTTAGGGTACATGTGATAATTTAGTATAATCATATAATTTGTACCAAGACCAAATCAGTATGTGACCCAACCATCACCTTAAATATTTGTCTTTTCTTTGTACTAGAACCATTCGAATTCTTTTCTAGCTATTCTGGGGTTTTTTGTTTTTTGTTTTTTTTGAGACTGGGTCCATCACATGGGTTAGAGTATAGTGGCATCATCATAGCTCACTGCAACCTCAAACTCCTGGGCTTAAGCCATCCTCCTGCCTCAGCATCCCAAGTAGTTGGGACTATAGCCACACATCACCATGCACAGCCAATTTTTCTTGTTTTTGTAGAGACAGAGTCTCACACTTGCTCAGGGTGGTCTCAAACTCCTGGCCTCAAGCAGTCCTCCCGCCTTAGCCTGCCAAAATGCTAGGATTACAGGCATGAACCACCACACCCATTCTTTTTTCTAGCTATTCTGAAGTATACAATAAATTATTTTAAACTATAGTCACCCTACTGATCTATCAAACACTAGTTCTTATTTCTTCTATCAAATCATATATTTGTACCTGTTAAGCAACTTCTCTCTATCTCTCCCCACCATCTCCAACCCTTCCTAACCTCTGGTAACTACCAGTCTACTCTGTATCTTCATGAAATCCAGTTTTTTAGCTCCCACATGTAAGTGAGAACATACCACATTTGTCTTTCTGTGCTTGGCTTATTTCACTAAACATGATGATCTCCAGTTCCATCCATGTTGCTGCAAATGACAGGATATCATTCTTTTTTATGGCTAAATAATAGTCCATTGTGTATATATACCACATTCTCTTTATCCTTTCATCCTTTGACGGGCATTTAGGTTAATTCCATATTTTAGCCATTGTAAATTAAATAGCACTGCAATAAACATGGGGGTGCAGATGTCTTTTTGATACATTGATTTCCTTTCTTTTGGTTATATATCCAGAGGTAAAATTGCTGGATCATATGGTAGTTATTATTTTAGTTTTATGAGGAACCTCCATAGAGTTTTCCACAGCGACTGCGCTAATTTACATTCCTACCAACAGTGTATGAGAGTTCCCCTTTCTCTACATCCTTGCCAGCATCCATTATTGCCTGTCTTTTTTATAGAAACCATTTTAACCAGGGTGAGATGGTATCATTGTGGTTTTGATTCGCATTTTTCTGATGATTAGTAATGTTGAGCATTTTTTCATATACCTGTTGGTTATTTGTATGTCTTCTTTTGAGAAATGTCTACTCAGGTCTTTTGCCCATTTTTTAAATAAAATTATCTGAATTTTTTTCTTATTGTTTGAGCTCCTTATATATCATGTTTATTAATCCTTTCTTAAAATGGTAGTTTGCAAACTCCTCATTCTTTTTTAAATTCAACTCAGGTATTTGTTTCCAATACTCAAACTAAACCACCCTTGTTAGTAATCTACAATAGTAATAATAATAATAACAGCAGCAAATACTATGTAGCTGGCATTGTTCTGAGCCCTTTACATTTATCAACTTACTGAATTCTCACAACAATTTTATGAGGTTGGTACTGTTATCATTCCAGTATACTGATGACACTGAAGCATAGGTTAAGTAACTCATCTAAGGTCATTACAGCTAGTAAATAGTAAAGCCATGATAGTCTCCCAGAGTATATGCTTTTAGAGCATACTGCCTGTTTATTTTGCTAAATCCCATGGTTAGTTCTCTGTATATGTCTTCTCAACAAATACTTTATTCACTTGACTTCTCAGAAACTATATTCCCGTCTTAACTAGCTATTCCTTCTCCACTTTTTGACTGGTTCTTCTTCCTCTTCCAAAACTGTAAGTGTTAGAGTGTTTCAGGGTTTAATCCTCTGCCCTCTTCTCTCCTGCAGTAGTATTAATATTATTGTTAAGCCAGTGATTTTAAATATTGTCCTTAAGCTGTCTCCAGTCCTAAACTTTCCCTTGACTTGCAGGCTTTTGTCCCTCCATCTACTGAATTCTCCACTTGGGTATCTAATGGGTAGCTCTAGCTTAATAGGGAACAACTCTGCTTCTCCAATCTTAGTAAACGGTGTCACCATTCACTCAGACCAAAAACCCTAAGACCACTCACATCTCGTGTCAGTACATCCTGACAGCTCTATCATCATAAATAAATCCCTTCTCTGGTTCTCATCACTTCTGTTATGACCAACCTTAAGTCACAAACATCTCTTTTTCTGGACTACTGAAACAGCCTTCTGATTAGTCTCTCTTCAGCTGTTCTTGTCTCCCTGTGATCTCTTCAGCAGATAGAATAGTTACTTAAAAAAACAAATCACTTTATTTTCCTGCTTAGAACTCTCATTTTTTTCCATCAGATCTAAAATTTAAACTCCTTACTGTAGTTTATAAGGTTCTTTGTAGATGGGCCCTTTTCTCCTCTCCATCTTTATCTCCTGCTATCTCCTCCTAACCTCACTTCTGAACTAGCGCCACTGACCTTGCTGTTATTTCAATACACCAAAGGCCTTTCCAACTTGCGGCCTGTTATATTTGCCATTTCCTCTGCCTGGGACACTTTTCTCTAGGGTTATTATGACTTGCTTCTTTGCATCATTCAGGTTTTTACTAGCTGCCATCTCTTCAGAGAAGCTTTCCCTAATCAGTCTTAATGACAGCATACTCTACCTCCTTGTTCTGCTTTATCTTCTTCAGGGTGCTTATCATTAGCTGATTGTTTACTTACTTGTAATCTGTCTGTTGCCTCTGGACAGACGGAGGTGCCTTATGAGGTGCCTCTGGAAATGGCACCTCATAAGTGCAGAAGTTTTGTCTGTCTCGTTCCACTCCTTTTCCTGGCTTATAGTAGGCATTCGATATTTGTCAAAGTAGAAGAATGAGCACCCTAAAGCTGCATTCTATGAGTCCCTTCTTGTTTTATAGTCTACTCTTATTACCCTTTCCCCCACCTCTACACCATCTATTCCTGTTTTATTTTAATATTCTAGCCCTTAATTGTTTGTTTTTGTTTCCATAAGTGGAAACGTGATATTCTGGGAAGTTTACAAGTAGTAGTAATATGTTAAAATTTTGTAAATAATTTGTTTGATCTACTCCATTTTGCTAAGGCGATTTGTGTGGAACTTCTTCCGCCTGGAGAATGAACATCTGAATAACTGTGGTGAATTCCGTGCTGTGCGGGACATCTCTGTGGCCCCCCTGAATGCAGATGATCAAACACTCCTAGAGCAAATGATGGACCAGGATGATGGGGTACGAAACCGCCAGAAGAATCGGTCATGGAAGTACAGCCAGAGCATATCCCTGCGCCGGCCTCGCCTTGCTTCTCAGTATGTATGACTTCTACTCTGTGAGGCGTATTCCTTTGTGTTTTAGCATTGAATAACATTTAAGCTAAGAAGCTTATCAAGTTGAACCAATGAAATTGCCAATATTCAACCATTTTTCACCTACAAAAAACCAGTAAAAAACAGCAATTTCATATGATCCAAACTATAGAATGTCTAAATGAGCATATGGAGTAAATGTCATTAATTTATTACCTACTATTAATAATTTAGTGTTAAAGATGCATTAGAGAAAAATTTGTTGGAAAGTGATTTATTTGACTCTTCTGTATATCTTATATTTAAATAATTTTCAACTTATAAGCTTTAGGAATCCTGCCATTTATGTATTTGGCCAAATTACTTAATTTCTATATATTATCCCTCATCTGTAAATTGGGATTAATATCATTCCTGGTAATAGAGTGATCATGTGGATTAAATTTGTTATTATGTGGAACTTATTATACCAGTTTCCTCACAGAAAGAGCTCATTAAGTATAAGTTATTATTTTTCTTATTAAATACCTACAGCAGTATCTTTATCAGTCAACAACTATGTATTTTGCTAAAAGTTATACTAAATGTGCAAATATGGTGACTGCATTTGAAATTTAGAGGCAGTAGATACCACAGTAGATTGGATTGAAGGAGGAGACTTAAATTGATTGTGAGCAGTTTTCTGAAGGATAAGGGAGTGTTCGAATAGGCTAGAGGCACAGTAAAATCATGAAGGTGGTAATGAGGGCAATAAGACATAAAGGTAGACATGAGGGACAGAAAGAAAAACCATGTGACTAGAACTGTAGTGAGAAAAATTTAACTGAATAGATGAAGTGTGATTATAAAAGAAAAGTGCAAGCTTGACTTTATAGGCAGGGAAGAGTCACAGAGAATTTTTCCATAGAGGAATCACATTATGAAAGTAGTATCCTAGGAAGTTTTAATGGCACTGTGTAAAATATATTAGGAAAGGCAGAACTGAAGGCTAGAAGAACAACTGGAAGGCTATTGTAGTATATTTAAGTATGGGACAATGACAACTCAGATTAGAATGTTCACAATTGGACCAAAAAGAATGTAAGAAGATGTTTTGAATGAAGTAACAAACAGATGGTGGTAACAGTAACTCACTGGGTATAGGGGACTAGAGTAGATTTTGCCAATGCTTCAGATAGAGATTTGGATGTTCCCTGAAGAGTTGAGAAAGAGAAGAGAAAAGAAAAGCAGAGAGCAGGAAACTGAGTCTGTTTTTTTTGGGGGGGGGACAGAGTCTTGCTTTCTTGCCCAGGCTAGAATGAGTGCCATGGCGTCAGCCTAGCTCACAGCAGCCTCAAACTCCTGGGTTCAAGTGATTCTGCTGCCTCAGCCTCCCAAGTAGCTGGGACTACAGGCATGCGCCACTATGCCCGTCTAATTTTTTCTATATATATTAGTTGGCCAATTAGTTTCTTTTTTTATTTTATAGTAGAGATGGGGTCTCGCTATTGCTTGGGCTGGTTTTGAACTCCTGACCTCAAGCAATCCATTCGCCTCGGCCTCCCAGAGTGCTAGGATTACAGGCATGAGCCACCGCGCCCAGCCAGGAAACTGAGTCTTGTTCCCTGGCTGACCCACTTCAGCCAGGGAACAAACATAGGCAAGAGGAAAAAAAACAAAATAAACAAAAGAGGCAGAAATGGTCAGGGAGGTCAGTAGGAAGAGCATCAAAACAAAGCATGGCTCTATTATCCCAAGGAAGCAGAATTTGAAGAAGCTAGGATAGGGGAGCTCGGAGTGGGGTCAGCAAGATAAGCGTCACAAAGGGCTGGAAGAAAATGCTCATTTTGGTCCATGGTCTCATTGAGCTCCTGATTTTGAAAGTCTAATAATCCTTGTTAGGTACCAGCAGAGGGCAATCTAAACATACACTATTTCTGTGTCAGAAACCAGAGGATCTTTGGCAATAGTTTATTATGTTCCATTTCAGGTGGAAAAACACTGAGAAACTAGACTGCAATGAGAGAAAGACATTTAGAATAGAGCACTTTGTGTGCAACAGAGAGAGCAGGGAATCTAAAATAAGATCCGAGTCTGAGTACTGACTTTAGGACTCATGCAACATTTAGCATATCCTTAACCTTTTTGAATTTCAGTTTCTACCTCTGTCAAGTAGGAATAATAATTCCTATTTCACCAAATAACCACTTTTGTCTCACAGAGCTCATGAATTACAGAATATTTCATTACCTAATCTAATTTTTTATCTAATGTAGGAATCTCTTCTACAGCATCCTGAATAGAGAGATGATCATTTTGTGCTAATTGACAATCAAAAGTGATGGTGAAGTTTATAATTTATGAGACATCTAATTTTATTGTTAGATAGTTATAGTGGTGAATAGTTTATGATGGGCTGAAATATGTTTCATTATAATTTCACTGTAGCTTCAACCATTTGATTCTAATTGGGCTCTCTCACATAACTTATGATGAGTCTCCTCCCTCTTCTGCATTATATTTTGTCAACTATTTGAATACAAACAACTGTTATGCCATTCCTTAGATCTTCTGCTGGCTAACTTGTTTTTCATGCATACTTCAAATGGTATTGTTTCTGTCATCCTCATCAGAATTCCTTGTATTTGTTTACTACTTTACTGATACTTTTTACACCCATTTTCTCATTTGATATACACAGTGTCTCCATGAGGTAAAAGTGGTACTAGGTGAAATAGATATTATTATTCCTGCTTTACAGAGATGGAAATAGGCACTCAAAGAAGTTAAAGAGATGCATGATAAAATCAAAGTCAGTACTCAAACTCAGATCTTATTCCAGGTTACTACCCTCTCTGTTGCACATGACCGCTGTTCTTGTTATGTTTCTCTGGCTGCAATCTAGTTTCTTAGTGTTTTTCCAATGATACCTGAAATTAAATAGGAAATTCCAGGCATAATCTATCTGGTGCAGTAGATAGTGTCTGTTTAGGATGTATATTTAATGGTGGTAAAATTGGAAATGTACCTAGTACTGTGAGTGATTTTTGTATTTTATTAATAGCAATGGACTAAGTTCTTCTTTTCCCCTTATTACCACTAGATCCAAGGCTCGTGACACTAAGGTATTGATAGAAGACACAGATGATGAAGCTAACACTTGAATTCTCTGAAGTCTAGATTAACATCATTGGTTTTCCTACTCTACAATTCTTTCCTCGACCAACGCAACCTCTAGTACCTTTCCAGCTGAAAACAGGAGAAAACACATAACACGTTTTCCGAGCTCTTCCAGATCGGATCCTATGGACTCCAAACAAGCTCACTGTGTTTCTTTTCTTTTCTTCTGGTTTAATTTTAATTTTCTATTTTTAAAACAAATATTTACTTCATTTTGCCAATCAGAGGATGTTTTAAGGAACAAAAACATAGTATCTTATGGATTGTTTACAATCACAAGGACACAGATACCTATCAAGATGAAGAACAGGCATTGCAAGGACCCTGTGGTGGGATGGTTCCGAGATGGCTCGGCTTCCACTAGGCCCGGTTTTGACTGGTTGAAACCGGACATTGGTTTTTAAATTTTTTGTCAGTTTATGTGGAGAATTTTTTCCTTTCCTTCATATCCAGCGCACAGGCACTGGCCGCACTTGCAGGAAAAGTGCAACTTAGAGCAGTACCTTCATTCATGAAGCTACTTTTTAATTTGATGTAACTTTTCTTATTTTGGGGAGGGTTGCTGGGTGGGTGGGAAATATGATGTATTTGTTACATATAGTTTTCTCATTATTTATGAAACTTAACCATAAGAGAATGATATGGCTCCTGTGCAATGAAGGTGGTGTCAGTGAAAGAAGACAGGGGAAGCTAATGTTGGATGACATTTATGATGGTCAGTCCCACATACCTTTTTTGGGAGACAACTTGCACCAGTTTGACTTTTTCTTTTCTTTAATTTTAAGCCAAAGTTTTATTACTGACTTTTTAAGTTGCTGCTGCATTAGAGTCCTGAGCACATCTCTCATAACAAGGCATCCCCACACTTCTGTACCACCAGTTGAACTTCATAGAAGAAGTTCTGATGCTGTTTTAAGAAGTTTTTATGGAACAGATGTGGAATACATTTACCATATTTCAGCTGTAACAACTGAAGTTATGCCTTATTATGCTTCAGCATGTAGGGTAATTGTAGCATAATCTTTACTAACTCTGAATTAGAAGACAGCTGTTTCAGAAACTCTATACCCTCATTAGATAGTTCTTCTGAGCTCAACCACTTTAGCCAGGATGTGATCAAATTAAAAGTCTGTTGTGGGGAACCGTATTTTTGAGTGCATGGAACAAATTATCTTTCCTCTTTCACATTACACTGATACAAAAGACCATGGCAGCCATTTCTCCCAGCAGTTTTCAAGATGAACATTTAATTTCTTGCCTTCCCATGATAGAAAACCTGCTTTTAAAATTTTGGGGGTCTAAATTTGGTCATACATAAAAAGTATATTTCTTAGAAATTTCAGACTATTATGATCTGTCCACAATGTCCCTTTTCACTTGTTTGTCACATTTCTTCCTTGTGTTCCTTAATCATCCAAATAAGCCCCAAAACCATAGAGATTTTACTTTCTTGAATATGGTTGATATTAAATTTAACATTTCGTTATCCAACAAAATTAATATAAACTCCAGGAAAAAGATAAAGTGTGTTTCACTGCCCCCAACCCAGATGAAGATTTCAAAGTCAACATCAGCAGATTCATGAAAGTAAATTTACTTCTGTTGTTTTCAGCTTAATTATAGACAAATAAGTGGAAGGGCAGCTATTATCACTTGCTTAGTTTTAAAAACATGTGGTTACTGCCCTTTAATACACTCCTTTTGTCAGCAGCTCTTCTCCCATGTGTTACAAGTCTTTACTCATCCCTGTCATAATTGCGGTAGATTATACTGAAGTTACTGTTACTACCAAAATGTTATCAGTTAATTGACAGTTTCTTCCATCTTTATTCTGATAAACTTCCAAATTTGTTCCCTTTTCGAATCTGGTTTTTTTTTTTCCCCCTGAAAAAGTCATACAACTTGGAAGCTTCTATTGCTTTTTTTTATGTATTGGCAAGTGTGTCCCTTGGCCCAGAACTAAAGAGGAAACGTTTAATTATTGTTGGTTTTTGTTTGGGATTTTTTTTTTTTTAGTTTAAATAAATTGAATCATTTATAATAATCAGTGGTAACAATTTAGTGACCCTTGGCAGATTAAAGGTTGCATTATTTATACTTTAGATTTTTTTTTCCTAACTATTCTGGGTTTTATACTTTAAAACTATGGGGGATATATCACTGGTCTGTCAAGAAATAGCAGTAATTATTACTGAGTTACATAAAGAAGTCCAGTGGACCAGTCATTTCTTGTGCAAATAAAATTGGTGATACTAATGCGTATCCAAAGCCATTTGAATTATCAACTTCATTCTCTTATTAGTGAATCTATATGATGGCACACATAAAATCCTATAGATGATTTCTGATATTTGAACTCCCCAGTGTTTTTACTTCAATGTATCCTATGGCCAGTTTGGTCTTTCTTCAACCGTTATGATTCTATACCCTAATCAGTATTATTTTTTCATACATAACACAATGATAGAATGTATTCCTTTTCTGATGCATTTGTCTGAATGGCATAGGATATTCAAAAATGAGGCTTATGTAACTTTGAGCTTGCCATGATAGATGCCTAAATATGTATTTAAACATACAGCGTTATGTTCTTCTTAAAGCTGTAAAGAGCAAAAAGGGCTTTTCCTCATTAAAAGAGTTTGATAGACAAAGTATACATTTAAATTTTTCCTTCAGAAAAGGCAATATATATTTTTCTCTCCTAAATTTTATATGTCCCAGCAGTTGTGAATGCTGTGTCCTGCCTAAAATTCTACTGGGGGCTCCTATGCACTGAAACTCTCAATAGAACTCTTAAAAATGAATATCACAGAGTCATTTTAAAGGAGCAGCAACCTAACCAAAGGTAAAATCTTCATCTAATTTTAGGTTTAGAAATTCTAGTTTTTTATTTGAGAATCACTCAATTTTTAATATCAGTTTAAATGCTCATCAAAGGAATGGGAAAAACATAAATAAAAGAATAAAATTCATTTTTCATTTTATGATAGTATAGAAAGCATTGATATGTATAGAGAAGTTTAGAAAACAAAAGTGGTTTATTTTCTATGCACAAATGAGCACCTATATTTAAGGCTGCCTATACCATTACAAAAGAATAATTGGTGATTTCATATCATACAGAAAGACAGTGAAATGATCAAAGATTAAATCGTCATTAATTAGTTTATGATGATAATGTTTAAGATTAGAAAGTAGTTGAAAACCCATGTACAACTTTTTTTTTCAGCCATTAGAATCATTCTGATGTCACGAGTCAGATGTCATGATTAAATGATAAAACTGCTTAACTTCAGATTCAGGAGCAATGGTAAGAGGAAAACGCCATTCACCTCAGCAGTAACCTCTATGAACCCTTTAAAGAAGGAAAGAGGGGCCTAGCCCCTAGGATCAATGATTTCCGAATATTCTAAACACAAGAGTTCTGCAATTTTAACTGAGCTTTTACCAGAAGTAACTCGTTGATACATGGTATCTTTCCATCATGGTTTGACCAGAGTATATTCTTAGTAACTAGAGAAAGCAATTCATCCATTTCTGAATAGGTGAACCAAGGCAGGGTAAAAACAAAGAAGTAACTAGTACTAAGTCTTACAGTTATCAGATTAACAGACTTTTAGTTGAAGAGAAATAAAATAATTTTGGAGATAACAAAGAAAAGCAAGGGGATGTTAGACCTTAGCAGCAGAAGCCAGTCAGGAAAGTATGTGAGTTTGGTAACACGGAGGTAATACCTCTCCATCTCTCTATTCAGTGGTTATTACATTTCTGGGAAAGACTTGCTTTTATTTTCCTACCGGTTTTCCTCTGTTACCTTACATTGTTCAGGAAATAGTTCTTTATACCTTGCATTGTTCAGGAAATAGTTCTTTATTCCTGAATGCAATTTTCTAAGCATTGACAAGAAAAATTTCTCATTTTAAGGAAAATAATTAAGGAAATAACTCATCCATGGCAGTATTTTATTCGGAAACTTGAGATTCTCTGAAGTGATTGCAGTTTATTTGTTAAACAAATTTTAGGTTATTACTGTTTTCTTTTAATAGGTTTGATGAAATTTGCCTCTCTCAAAAAAATAAATACTTCCTACCACATTACATATTTGGATCTTTTAATTAAGATAGCCTCTCAGATTTAAAAAGAAATCATGTTGAATCATAGCTCTGTCAACTACAAAATCACCATACTCTTCTCAAATCTAATAAGAAACCATTGTCATTACAGATAAGATCAATAGTGACCAGGTGAAGAGAATAGAAGTTCTGGTAGAACTTTTAAATAGGTTAGGTAAAGAACAAATCAAATTTATCTGCTTAGCTCATATTTTTTGATTGATCTCATTTTTCTTGCTTGTGATTATTAGCTAAGGCAAGGAGAGTTCAAGATTTTCTAAATTACTTAAATGCACATACATTTCTGCATTTCAGATGTCAGTCTTGATAGTAAATCTTAAAAACTCCCAACTTCCTGCATTGTATTTTAAGTCTACTGTATACAATGTCAAAGCACATGATAACCCGGGACAGAGTTGATTGTATTATAGTATAAGATATTTATGCTGGTCAGTGTTACAAGCCAACAATTTAACCAGCATTAACCATACTCTGCTCACAAATATGAAAAAGTAAAAGCATCTTACTAGGTTTAGAAGAGCTTAAGTTAAGCCATACAAGAAGTTTGCCTAGGAGTGGAGAGGAGCCTGCTGAGTGGTATGGCTTTTATGCCTTTCTTGTATGAATTGTCAAAACTCTGACATTGAGCTGAGCTGCCCCTTAAAAATAGCCTTCTAAAATATGTGTGCTTACTTATGGTAGAAGAGGAAGTGAGAGGGACAAGACGAGAGTTTCCCCCAAAGTGAGGAGAATCATTATACTAATTTTTAATTTTCAGTTGAAGCATGTATCCTTGTAGCAAACCTTTGCTTTATTTTATTATCAAATCAAATACCAGTTTTTATATGGTGCCATCAGCCTAGGAGGACAATCAAAATGACCTATTGTTTGCCTTGGATTCAGTATGTCTGCTATTTACACAGCCTCATCTTGTATAACTTCAAACCAGTTACTTGACTAAACGTCCACCATATTACCTTAGTGATCTTCCTATGCCCTTTCCTCTGTAGCACCATAAATCAGAGGGAAGACTGCAATACTGCTAGTAAGATGTGGACTTCTAAGAAAGAGCAAGGATTCTGTCTCACTGTCCTTTGATCATTATCTATGAAGTCCCTGCCTACAATTCACTGATTCTCCTATAGCAACACCAGCATGGTGGAAACAGGGAGAAAAATTGTGGAAAATCCCTAAAGATTGTTCATGACATTGTTCTTCTTTTGAACTATAAAGTAAAATTGTGAGCCATTCACATTTTCATTGCAAAAAGAACAAAACTCTTCAATTTTATCATATTGTGATGGTTAATTTCTTCCCATTTTTTGTATTAGCACAGAAGCTTGTATCAATGAAGAATATTTAGGAGGAGAATAGGGTGGAAAATGTATTTTTCTTTTCAAACCCTCTCCCACTACTTGTGTTTCCTTCACCCCTCCTCCCCCCACCACACTGTGTTGGTCAAATGATATTGTTCTATGAAACCCTGAGCTATAGTTGTCAAAAGTAACTATGGATTGTGATTAGTCTTCTGTGGGTGCTTCTTTCTTTCTCTCTTTTTTCTCCCTTGCTGTCTTTCTTACTCTCCACTCTGGTAAATGGAAAAGGTGACATCAAAGAATTGATGCTTGCTTGGACTCATGTTGTATCTGTGACTATGCTATTAGCTGTCTCCTTTTTCCTTATATGGGTAGAATTCTAATGGAGTTCCCTTCTTGATAAGTAGGTTAAATGCACAATGTGGTACTGTTTTATAGTTTGTAGATGGTTGTATAAAGCAAAAAGTTAATGTGGTTATGTGTTTTTAAAAGAAAATAAGTGATTGGTTACTAAACTCTGTCCTTTTTTCATTATTACAAGCTCTCTCTGTTTTCTAACAGTTTACTGACTCCTTTGTCACTGATGAATGGTTTGTGTGACTGTGTGTTTTTCTCTCTGGATTTTGTGGATTCCTGAACATGGTTGCCATTATGACTAACTTGTTTTGGGCAAACATTACAGTGGTGAAATTTTTAAACTATTCTACTAAATTAAAAAATAATCTTAAATAGCCTTTTTTCTTTAGGTAATACATGAGGTGTATGAACTCTAAAGCAATGTGATTGATGCCACAAGTTTTTTGTTTTTTGTTTTTTGTTTTTTTTTACTCACATAAAGTGTCTCAAGTATTAGGTGAAATGATATGTTGGAGGGCTGGACTCTTGTATTACTACATCCATGCCCTAAGTGGGACATAAGATGTTCTACAGAATTCCTGGATTAGTTATTACTCCTTATATCTGTCTTGGAAAAATTATAAAATTAACTGACCCTGAGATGAATATACCCAAAATGCAAAGAGAAAACTAAAAGCATTAAAGCCTTTTCATCATATTTTAATACCATAAACTCTGCTCTTACTATATATCTATGCGGACTAAACCAGAATATGATAATGTGGAGTTTCCAGGCGAAAGTCAAGATAGGATGTGAATATATATGAATCACTAGATACTGAACACCCCTTTCTATGACAACACGTACTCAATACATACTCAGCATTTGTATGGCTAAAGTATTACATATTTTCCAAATATACAGCATCTCAGAAATATGTGGATTAATGAATGAGTCATCTCAATTTGTTTATGAAGAAACAAAGACCTGGAGCAGCTGAGTGCACAATCCCAAATGGTTCTAGGAGGCCCTTCTTTTCTCTTTTATCTGCCCAGACATATCCAGAATCCTTGGACTTTAGTGACCTATGTCTTTGTATGGATAGTTTTTATTAGATCTTTTTCTAAGGTATAAGAATAATGACTTATTTTACCCTTTTTTAGAGAGAGAGAGAAAGAGAGAGAGAGAGAGAGAGATGAGGTCTCACTATGTAGCCTGGGCTGGCCTTGAATTCCTGGGCTCACTGATCCTCCCTCCTTAACCTCCCAAGTAGCTGGGACTATAGGCACGTGCCACCATGCCCAGCTTATACTTTTTGATTTATTTATTTTTCTAGTTTCCCACATTTTCCTTTAGGGGAATTGTGGAGTTCTTGTACTCTTAAAAAATTAGTATGTGTTTATTGAGCTCCTATCATGTACTAGCCATATTTTTTTTTTTAAGAGACAGAGTCTTGATATGTGTTTGCCCAGGCTGGTCTCAAACTCATGGCTTCAAGTGGTCCTTGCCTCAGCCTCCCAAGTAGCTGGGATTATATGTGTAATCCACTGCACCCAGCTCAGCCATGACTTTAAACTTAGTTGAAGTTGGCTTCATTATCATAAGTTTTGTGAAGAAAAAAAGAGAAAAGTGATAAAAATTATTTGTAAATTACCTACTTATCTGAAACCATTGCCCAAAAAACCTACTATCCTGTTACTAGGTATCAGTGCCCCAAGGTAAGCTGAGTTTTCTATCTCAAGCTAGGGATTACTCTTCACTCCTTCCCAGGCAGATAAAGCTTGTTATTCTGGTTACTTATTCATTATTTTAAAAATCAAAGTATTAGATCTGTCAGGAGTTATTTCCTCAGAATTTTCTACTGCCAAAAACTGCCCTTCCAATCCATCTTACTCACTTAATCAGTAACAAACATATGAGCATCAAAGTTCAACCAATGTTTACCTTTATAAAATGAAGTTTTTACCCTAATTTAAATAAGTTTTATATTGACCACATAGCCAAATGGTTCTGATGGTACAGAACCATCTGCCTTACTCCACCTAGGGCAGCCCGATTGCTTCTTGTCTACCTCTGTGAATAGAATAACCAAAGTCCATGTATGATTTTTGGTGATAGATTCACTATGCTACTCTACTTCCGTAAGGAGAAAACCAAGTAACTCAAGAGAAACAGGCAAGTAACAGAAGAAAAGCAAGGAGAAGCAATATTAATTCCTAAATCCTTTGCCACTTTACTAAATTACAAATTATCATGTGTCATATATCGTAAATTTCACAGTATTTTATATTATTTGGTTGAAGTAAACAAATTTGCTTATTTGTGATTCCTTGATTCTTCTGAGTAGATGGGCCAGTAAAATTAGAAATTTCAGTTAATCAGGGTTTTTGTATCCCTTCCATAAGGGAATATACAAGCTATCAATACTTTGGAAACATCGGTTCCCCAAAGATTATTTCTGTCAACTATTGGATTGAAACATTTTTTTCTGCACTTTCATAGATATTTTAGAAAATTTTAGCTCCTTCCTGGCAGCCCTCATCAAAAGACTTGCCAGGCTGAATGTGTACCCTGCTGCCAACTATTGTGATTGTCATGTGACATGTCCTGGCTTCCTTCTATGTTAATGCCCTAGTCTTAACCAGTCTGGAACTCTAATGGTGACACAATTCAGGAGAGAGGAGATGTTCCTTTTCCAAGGGTACTAAAATGTTTGAAATGCCTAGTAAATAGTAGAGGCTTATTATTCGTTAAACTGGAAGGTAGCTTCAGGAGTCTATAAATAGATGAGTTGTTGAATAAATTTAGGAGGTAGCTGGCTTTTTTGATCAACTGCTTTAGGAACTACGCTTCTTATTTGTACCTACTCAACTGGCAAACTCACTGGGCTCCACAGTGACTGTTGTGTGGAATCAGGTTGTGTGAAAACTTGATTCTGATGCTGTCTTCACCAATACCACGTTAGCAGATGCTGCTACTTTCTGTGAACTTTGTTTTGTTGCAGAGAACAGACCAGGTTCCCCAAGGGTACAATAATCATAGCTGACCCTCACTGGCCACTGCAAGCGAGGCATGTCTCACATCAGTGTCTGTCGTGTGGTGCCAGTCTCATTTATAGAGGAGAAAACCAAAGTGTTAGGTGCCTGGCCCTGGATAATGCAAGAATTACTGAACCTGGTATTGGGACCCAGATGGAACTAGCTCTGTAGCCCACATTGTTTCTGCTTTGAAAAAGAAAGGAGGGTGGAATTTTTTTTTCTGCTTAGCAGCCAAAACTAAGAAGTTACTTGTAGTGAATTACTGTTTCTTTCTAAAGTTATGCCTGGTCAAATCAGAATATAATCATTTTCAAAGAACACTCTCCCGCAAAATGCATATATAACCGTATGTTCCTCAACAAGCCTGGGTCCCACTGACTACTGCTTTCTGGGAATTTGTCCTCTGCCCCTCCAGGGAAGACAGCTCTTAGGAATGTTTAAAAAGTTAAACAATAACAGCTGGCTGATGTGGGCTCACGCCTGTAATCCCAGCACATTGGGAGGCTGGGGTGGAGAATCACTTGAGGCCAGGAGTTTGAGATAAGCCTGGGCAACATAGTGAGTCCCTTTCTCTTCAAAAAACTTAACAGTTAGCTGGGCGTGATGGCACATGCGTATCAGCATAGGCCAAAATACTCAAGAGGCTGGGATGGAAGGATTGCTTGAGCCCAGGAGTTTGAGGGTGCAGTGACCTGTGAGATCCCACTGCACTCCAGCCTGGGCAACAGAGCGAGACCCTGTCTCAAAGAAATAGGTAAATACATACTTACACAGCAAAACCCTGCCTCAAATAAATAAATAAACAGTAACAACAAACATTGCTCCTTATTGACTGCTTTTCACAGGAGGCTCTCCCTTGAGCCAGCCGCCATCTTTCCCTCAATCCTTATCCTCCCTCGCCTGCTCTTCCTTCCAGTTGCATGCTGGAGGAAGGCAAGCACTTGCACTGTATGAGGCATTTGAGATGTAGGGCGGAGGCAGTGGCTGCAGGGTGACAAGGTTGGATGGCTATTCTTAAGTGCCATCGATGCCTACAGAAGGGTAGTGAACAGCTGAGGGCAAGCACCAGGCAATTAAAAGCCAGCTGTGGAAGCCAGAGGACCTCTTTGGTTGCATACAAAGAAGCTCTCATCTGCAGTGGGAGGAAACAGAAAGTGAAGACTAAGCCCAAGCCTTTATAGGGTCACAGAACTTGAGACAGTTGAATACAAAACCAAGGCAGGTCTGTTATGCAAGGTCAGGGCCCTGATTGGGAAAACCCAACATGTGAGATGGCAATATCTGGTTGAAATCTCCCCTGCCCCTGCCAAAGATTCTTACTTCTCAAACCCCTCGGAATATTCTGAACCTATAGACACCCCCAATCCATGATGGAAGACATTAAAGAGGCCCTTCTTGTGCAAGACAACATGTACACCCCTCAGAGTGACTCAGTGGGGACATGCTGGGCTTGCTTAGGGAGAATAGGGACTGTTCACTAAAGGAACTGTAAGATGTAGTCAGCATGGACTGGCAGGAGCTGGAGGAGATTTGGAGGGTGCTTGAAAAGAGGACCAGAACGTGAGGTTGAATAGAGAACAACTTTTGACTTAGAGGAGTTCCCTTGAGATACCAAATTTAACTCCTAGCAAGGATCCCAGGAGTTGGTGGAAACTTTCTGCTAGTATGGCTCCTACAAACCTGGAAAATGATGGCTCATGTTGAAAAATTTGAAATTCCAGAATTGCCATGGCAGATAGTGGAAGGAAAGAGAGGGAGAGAGGGGGACAGAGAGCATCCATATTGTAGGAAGGCAGGTAGGGGAATAGTGACTATTGCCACATTCATTGCCTCTCCTCCCCATTTTTGTTTAATTGACCAGTCTGGACAATGAAGAAATTGGATAGTTTGGCGACAGTCACTGTAGACCATCACAAGCTCAGTCAAGTAGTCCTGATTGCAGGTAGAATGCCAGATGTGGTATTATGTCTTCATTAGACCAGATCAATACTGCAAGTAAATGAGCATTGATTTGGTGCAGGCATTTTCTTTTCCAATCAAAACAGGATCAGAAACAGTTCACATTTTCATAGAAATGACAATATACATTAACAGTTTTGTTTCAAGGCCATGCTAAGTCCAAAGAGATCCGAACAAGCTAGATGCCCACAGAACATCACAATGACTGATTACATCAATGCTCCTG